AGAGCAGTGTTCTGTCACCCCTTTTGAAAAACACATACTCCTCTCTCGGCTGGGTTTTGGAGTGTTTGTGGTTGTTTTTCGAGTTCTACTCTGGGTTTGCTTCCAAGAGGGCTTTCTGGTTCTGTTTCAGAGAATAAAAACCCATCCTCAAAGTCTGCTCGGACACCAGCCCCCCGCCCAGCTTTTGATGTCCCCTTGCTCTCCAGGCCCCTCATCTGGCGAGAGAAGATGCTTTAGTCATCAACAGTGGGAGAGACAGACAGTGTTGCCTCCACACTGTGGTCAGGGCCAGGAGACAGCAGCCCCAGGGCTGACCAGGAATAAGCCGGTGATAATAGCGAGAAGGGGTCCCTTGCAGAGGGGCCAGTCAATGCCAGGGCAAGGAGACTTGAAATATTTCCCATGATAGGAGCAGACCTCAGCAGTATCATCCAGACCCTGGGGGCCGGGGGCCAAGCAGGCCACCTGTCATCTCAGGGTGGGAATACAGAAAAGTGAGAGACCCAGTTAGAGCCCACAGAGCTCAGCCCACCCTATGTCAGGGGGCATGTGCTCTTGCTTGTCTGGGCTGTGGCTCCCCCACCCCGAACTCTCATTCCAGCTGCAACCTCTTTCCTCTGTGAGGCTGGGCCTGGATGTGGTGAGCTAGTCGTATTTTTCAACTCCTTACAACTCTACTTTGGCGTAAAAAAGTACACGATCTTTTCAACAAATTCTGTTTGAACAACTGGACTTCTTGTACCATATACAAAAATTAATTCAAAAAGGATCTCAGGCCTAAACGTAAAACCTAAAATTATGACACTTCTAGAGGAAAACTTAGGAAGAGGCCTTTGTGACCTGGAGTTAGTCCAAGATTTACTAGAGGTGACACCAAAAGCATGACCCATACAGTAACAAATGGATAAATTGGTCTTTATTAAAATTAAAAATGTATGTTCTTAAAAAGACAATGTAGAGGCCAAATATGAAGAAATTGCAATTTTTTTACCAACTTCTGCAGTCTGAAATTAATCAAACATGCCATCAAGATGCACTGATAATTACTGGTGATTGGAGTGTGAAAGTTGGAAACAAAGAAGTATTGGTAGTTGGAAAATATGCCCTTGGTGACAGAAATGATGCCAGAGATCGCATGATAGAATTTTGCAAGACCAATAACTTCTTCATGGCAAATACCTCTTTTCAACAACATAAATGGCGACTATACATGTGGATCTCGCCAGATGGAATACCCAGGAATCACACTGACTACATCTGTGGAAAGAGATGATGGAAAAGCTCAATATCATCAGTCAGAACAAGGCAAGGGATGGACTGCAGAATAGACCATCAATTGCTCATATTCAAGTTCAAGCTGAAGCTGAAGAAAATTAGAACAAGTCCACGAGAGCCAAAATACGACCTTGAGTATATCCCACCTGAATTTAGAGACCATCTCAAGAATAGATTTGACACAGTGAACACCAATGACCAAACATCAGACAAGCTGTGGGATGACATCAAGGACATTACGCATGAAGAAAGCAAAAGGTCATTAAAAAGACAGAAAAGAAAGAAAAGACCAAAATGGATGTCAGAAGAGACTCTGAAGGTTACTCTTGAACATAGAGTAGCTAAAGCAAACGGAAGAAACAATGAAGTAAAAGAGCTGAACAGAAGATTTCAAAGGCGGCTCCAGAAGACAAAGTAAAGTATTATAATGACATGTGCCAAGACCTGGAGATAGAAAACCAGAAAGGAAGAATACACTCAGCATTTCTCAAGCTGAAAGAACTGGAGAAACAATTCGAGCCTCGAGTTGCAATTTTGAAGGAGTCTACAGGGAAAATATTAAACAACACAGAAAGCATCAAAAGAAGATGGAAAGAATACACAGACTTACTGTACCAAAAAAAATTTGTCAAAATTCATCCATTTCAGGAGATAGCGTATGATCAAGAATCAGTGATACTAAGGAAGAAGTCCAAGCTGCACTGAAGGGAATGGCGATAAACAAGACTCTAGGAATTGACGGAATACCAATTGAGATGTTTCAAAAAACGGATGCAGCAATGGAGGTGCTCACTCGTCTATGCCAAGAAATTTGGAAGACAGATACCTGGCCAATCAACTGGAAGAGTTCCATATTTGTGCCCGTTCCAAAGAAAGGTGATCCAACCTAATGCAAAAATTATCGGACAATATCATTGATATCACACACAAGTAAAATTTTGCTGAAGATCATTCAGAAGCAGTTGCAGCAGTACATCGACAGGGAACTGCCAGAAATTCAAGGTGGATTCAGAAGAGGATGTGGAACAAGGGATATCCTTGCTGATGTCAGATGGATCATGGCTGAAAGCAGAGAATACCAGAAAGATGTTTACCTGTGTTTTATTGACCATGCAAAGGCACTGTGTGGATCATGACAAATTATGGATAACATTGCGAAGAATGGGAATTTCAGAACACTTGATTGTGCGCGTAAGGAACCTGTACTTAGTCCAAGAGGCAGTCGTTTGAACAGAACAAGGGCATACTGTGTGGTTTAAAGTTAATAAAAGTGTACATCAGGTTGTATCCTTTCACCATATTTATTCAATCTGTATGCTAAGCAAATAATCTGAGAAGCTGGACTATATGAGGAAGAAGTTGGGAACAGGATTGGAAGAAGACTCATTAACAACCTGCGATATGCTGATGACACAACCTTGCTTATTGAAAGAGAAGAGGACTTGAAGCACTTACTGCTGAAGATCAAAGACTACAGCCTTCAGTATGGATTGGACCTCAACATAAAGAAAACAAAAATCCTCACAACTGGACCAATAAGCAACATCATGATAAATGGAGAAAAGATTGAAGTTGTCAAGGATTTTATTTTACTTGGATCCACAATCAACACCCTTGGTTGCAACTGTCAAGAAATCAAACAACACATTGCACTGGGCAAACGTGCTGCAAAAGACCTCTTTAAAGTGCTCAAAAGCAAAGATGTCACTTTGAAGACTAAGGTGTGCCTGACCCAAGCCATGGTATTTTCGATCGCCTCATAGGCACGTGAAAGCTGGACAATGAATAAGGAAGCCCAAAGAAGAATTGATGCCTCTGAATTATGGTGTTAGTGAAGAATATTGAATATACCATGGACTGCCAAAAGAATGAACAAATCTGTCCTGGAAGAAGTACAACCAGAATGCTCCTTAGAAGCAAGGATGGTGAGACATTGTCTCACATACTTTGGACATGGTATTAGGAGGGACCAGTCCCTGGAGAAGTCCCTGCAGAAAGACATCAGTCCTGTTAAAGTAGAGGATCAGCAAAAAAGAGGAGGACCCTCAACAAGATGAATTGATACAGTGGCTCCAACAATGGGCACGATTGTGAGGATGGCGCAGGACTGCACAGCATTTCGTTCTGTTGTAGGTAGGGTCACTATGAGTTAGAACGGACTCGACCGCACCTAACAACAACAGAATGAAAAGACAAGCCCCAGGCTAGAAGAAAATATTTGCAAATCATATATTTGATAAAGAACTTGTACTTAGAATATATAAAGAACTCTCAAAACTCAACAAAATAAAAAACGAACAACCCAATTTAAAAAATAGGCAAAAGATTTGAATAGATATTTCACCAAAGAAGATATACAGATGGCAAATAAGCACATCAAAAGATGCTCAACAGCATTTTGGAAATACTAATTAAAATCACAATAAGATACTGCTATTAGAATGACTAAAATTAAGATGACTGACCATAACAAGTGTTGACAGGGATGCCGACGCTTGGCCCTGACCACAGTGCTGGGGAAGGGGGTGCCTTCGGCCTGCTCCCAGCACTAGGCAGAGCCCAGGACAGGAGGGCTGGATGGGCAGCTGAGGGGTGGGGGATCACCACACACTGGCTTCTGGAGCATCTTTCGGGTCCCCCACCACAACGGAAAACAATGGTGCCCCGACACTCCACTGGACCCAGGCCAGAACGCTGGGTGCCCTCCCAGGAGCCATGCTAACTCGAGTCAAAACTCCAGGCCCTCCAGCTGCCCTTGCTACTCTGCATTCTGGACAGGTCAGTTCACTCGCACCCACCTCCTGCTCCACGCAGGGCAGCCGGCTCAGAGCTGTCAGGGCGCAGGCCTTGTGGGTTTGGGGGTGTAGGTACAGGGGCTTGGCCGACCCTAATGCGTGCTCCCGAATGCCGGGCAGGCCCTTGTCGGTGATGGGGCTCCCGCGTGCCCTGAGAGCCCTGGCACAGCACCTAGGGTCCCTGCATAAGGCCCCAAGCTCACAGGTCAGGCCGTGGGCGAACAGGCCGGAGGCCCACGGGGACGGGAGACGGGGACTGGCCCACAATGCCAGACTCTCCGACTGACAAACAAGAGCTGGAAATGGGAATTTTTTGTGGACTCTCACAATTTGTAAATGTTGGCTGTTTTTTAAAACTTTGTCACTGGAGTACGTATAATAAACATGGAGGAAAAAAACACATTGGCTGAAACTCCTTTCAAACAATGCGGGGCCGCAGAAAGCTCCCGCAGGCCTCCAGCGGACATTTCAGCATGTCTTCCCGAGGGGCCCCACTGATTGTTCCAAAGCCACCGTGGAGAAGAGGGGCTCCGTGGGCGGAGCCGCGGAGCTGCGCGGGCGGCGACGGCAAGAGGAGCGCGTGGGGGCGGGCCGGGGCGGACCGGGGGCGGAGCCGGG